GGGGGAACTACAGTGCAATGCGATGTTAGCCGAAATGAATGCAAAGGGGTGAGGGTGAAGAGGGAGGACCGAGCGGGCCTTTAGCAGGACCCATGAGATGAGTATCCTTGGTCGGAGTCCGTGCCAATATCCGTCTCGACTTCGAATTGGATGCCTTCTTGGGTGAGATGAGGTAGTACAAAGTAAGCCATGTTGAATGATCGATGGTTGGGCGTTGTTTCAACTTTGATAGGTGCTTCGCCCGCTCGTATGCTTCATCGTGTCGACCGATCTTTACCAGCTTTGGTGGTCCTTCGACGAGGAGATTCTGCTTCGTCTCCAATATCTCGATGATTGTGTCCGGTCTCATCTCTCTCCTTTGAGAGAACTCGGCTTCCTGTGAGGATGAAGCGACGTGAAGAGAGTACCAAATGCATATGGAGGATGACCCTTGAGGCTATGTCGGCGACTTCAGGCTGGTTATGCATCACGAAGTGGAGGGGCCCATGAGGAGGTTGAGTTCGGTGATCGAGATGACTTGTGGATCTTGTCGTGCGAGTAACGCGCAGGCCATGAACTGCTGGAGATAGTGAATCGCGGGGTTTCGGATCATGAGGGCTTCGAGTTCCCATGGGCGGAAGGTGCCCGCTGCGATTTTCATCCAGAAAGTTCGGGCTTTGGTGACTGTGATCTTCGGAATCGCTGCGTTGGTGCTCATCTCGACGCCTAGAATTTCTGCAAGTTGTTCCACCCGGAGATAGAATTGCCGCCCTTCAAGTCTGAAGCCAAAGTAACCTTCCCGAGGGTTACCATTAGTCGGGATGAAGCATTTGAAGGTGCAAGCAAATTCTGTTGTCAGTCTTCGGTAAGTCCGGGGGTTGGCTTGGAAGAGGCGATCCCAGCTCGTGAGTTGAAAAATATCCCTGATTCTCTCGTAGAGTTGCCTTGGTAGAATGCTGTGATGCACAAACTTTGAAGCTCTGATTCCTCTGTTCTGAACTCGATGTAGGTCGAGTGTTTCCTCATCGGATTGGGGTTGGAATGGAGTTGGTTCCACAAAAGGTGCATCGGCGTTGATGGGAGCCATATCTACAAGACTTGAAAAAGGCATTCCTTGCGGCTTGAAGTCATGGAGGATGGGGATTCTGTCCGAAATGTATTTGCGCGCTTTGCCCCAACGACTTCTGGAATCCATCTGAATCAACTGAAAAATATCAAGAATTCGTCAGAGAAAACGGGCGGGCCGCCTGCTTTTCCGGGCGGTCGCTCGTTTTCGTGAATTGAAACGATTGATTCCAGGCGACCGCTCGGGCGGTCGCTCAAAACGGGACGGGCGGTCCGCCTGAAGAGGCGAGCGACCGCTCGGGCGGTCGCTCAAAACGGGACGGGCGATCTGCCTGAAGAGGCGAGCGACCGCTCGTTTTTCATCCGCAAGTGGGCGACCGCTCGAAAAACCGAGCGATCCGCCCATTTTTTCTGTCAAAATTTTTTTCTGACCCGATTTTGAGGAAATGCTGCATAAACATGAAGTCCGATAAGATTATCAACATTTAAGCACGTCAAAACATCATATAATAATACCGACAATCCAAAAAGAGCAGCACGAGACAAGAGTTTTAAACACATGAAACATCGTTCTACGGGAAATGTTAAACGTTCTATCCTAACGATGATCGAATCAAGGGGTCGTCCTCTTGCTCCCCTTGCTGGCCCCGGATGCAGAAGAGCCTTCTTCCTCGGACTCCTCTGATTCTCCCGCATCGGAGTCGTCGTTACCCATCATCTTCTCACACGCTCGCATTATCTCTCGTTGGGCACTCTCTATCGATGTTG